CAGAAAGCCCATGGAGGAAACAGGAGGGCTTTATTTTTCCGTGTACACTGACCCAACCAGACTTGTATCTAAAATGACTGAGCATCAAATAAAGGGGACGCTCCCATTTTTACACATTTTTGTCAAGGGGGTTGATGCAAAACTGGAAAGGGTTGCAAGCTAGATTATGAAAGCTGAGACAACGGCAGTTATTTACTCAGTGATGTTTTGTAAAGTTCTCATCTATGATGAAATGTGAGAATAAAGAATAATATATATGAATACAAACTTAGCCTTGAAGACAAATTCCAGTGTGTCACAGGACCCTGTTTACAGGAACATAATTGTCAACCTTATCAGCATCAGAGCAGAGGTCAACCTTGAAAGAGAGCAGATTCCTGAGAAGCCAGGACTCTTGTAGAGGAAAATGTTTGTTTTGTTTTGTTTTGCTTTTTTGAGACAGTCTTCCTATGTAGAGCAGGCTGACTTTGAACTTGCTCATGTAGCCCAGCCTGGCTGCAAATTCAGTGATCCTCCTGCCTCAGCCTCTTGAGTGCTGGGATTACAATTTGGTTTTCTCCAAGTCCTATTTTATAATTGTGCAGAGTGATGCATAAAACAACTGTATTGAAAGTCTGTAGTATGTGCTTTGCAAAGCCACATTGCAGAGACCAGTAACAAAGGCAGTAAATTTACTTACCAAGATCAGGGTAAAGATTAGGACAGGAATTTGCAGCAGGCGAGTTTCCAAGAGGGAAGTCTCTTTCAGATTGAAAGACTGAGGCATTCATAAGGGATTGAAACATGGGAAAGGGTCTGAGTCAGTAAATGTAGATGCCTGGTGAATGCTTTTCTACGGTGATTAGTTCCTTGTTAAACTTCCAGGAACACCTGCTCTGTATCTGTTATGTTTATTATTATTATTATGGTTTTTGGAGACAGGATCTCATTGTGTAGTTAAGGTTATCATGTAGCCCAGGCTGGTCTCAAACGTGGAACAATTCTCCTGCCCTAGCCTCCCAAGTGCTGGAATTACAAGTCTGTACTACCACACTAGGAAACCTGCATTTTATCTAAAGTTGTGAATCAAAAGATGCAAATCGGCAAGATTTTTTACTTTGATCTCACAGAAAGACCCTCACTAAGAGAAAGGTTTATTTTTATCTCATGCTGTTGTTGATCAGTGTTAGTGCAATAACTATGACTGCTTAAGTAGAGCTGGCAAACATTGCTTGGTGAGGAGCTACTCAAAGTTTTAACCCTTTTGTTGCTGATGGATAATCACCACAGTATGCACCTATGTGTTCCTGAGTAATGTGATTATCTTTATCAGCTTGAGGAACTATGAAAATGTTCTATAGCAGCTCTACCATTTTATAGCTGTCCCAGCAATAGACAAGATATGTTTGATTTTCTTCTTTATTTTTTCTATGCTTTTGTTTTAAAAAGAAAAGTTGCTAAACTTATATTAACCTCCCTAAATTAAAAAGCAAGCAAAATCTAAGAGCTGGGGATTTAGCTAAGTGATAGGGCTTGTCTAGTGTGTGTAAGGCCCTGAATTGATCCCAAGCCTTCCAGAAGCTTTACAACTACTGCATTGTATCAGCCTGTATTTAAAAACAAAAGCAAGAGGCTTGGGATATAGCTCAATGACATGGTCCTGCCTGGCAAGCACAAGGTCCTAAGTTTGATTCCTGGACCCCCCCCCCCCCACACACACACCAAAGCAAACAAATTGTCCAGGAGTTTATTTATCACTAAACAGAAAATTTCCTTTTTCTTTGGCCAGCCAGAGTGGCTCATTTTCCATTTCTTCTGTGTTGTGGGTGAAAAGAAGGGAAATCACTTTCAAAACAGAAAACTCAGGAAGTAGGATAAGGTGCTATGACTGGAACAAGAGAAATCATAGGCTTGTGTGTGCACCTGGTCTTTGGCGCCTGGAAATGGCACACGTGGTTTCTCATTTCCCCTCTGTGGGAGGGAGAATTTGGTGGGCTATCTATTTTTAGACTCTACTCTCTTGTCTGTGCACCAGGATGAACCTCTGAAGTTAACAAAAACATAAAACTTTGGACTGTTTCAAAATTCACATGTGAGATCAAATAAAAACTACGAAGATAAAGGATGTGGAGAAGACTGTAGGTTTTGAAGGAAGAGAGGAAGTTTCTGTGTCTCAGCAGAAGTGACATAGGCCCTTCAGATTATATAGGGGAAATAGATGTAACTCCCAACCTGCTAGATGTTCAATATTTCGAGTTCATGTTCCCCAGAATTGAAGAGTAAATTCTAAGGAACAATAGAGATTAAGAGTAGGAAGTTTTATTTAGAGAGAGACAGCCCCTGAGAGAGACATGTAAGTTGTGCAGTCCTTTCTTCACAAAGGAAGTTTTATAGAGCAACATCATGAGGTGGGTACAACATGGGCTAAAGCCATGTCACTAAGATTATAACCATAGCTGCTTAGGTAATAGTGACCCAATGGGAAACCAAGTCACATAGCAAGTGTATGTGAAAAGAACAAAGAACTCTTCAAGAAGGGGTGGGTCCAGAGATCTTGGTCACTCACTGAGGTGACTGATGTCTTATCTAGACTTTATTAGACTAGATCTTCCGGCTTATCCTTTAGGGAAGCGTGTAGGCCTGGTCATTCCATTTTTATCTTGAGGGCTGGCTTGCAACAGATGCACATTTTTCCATCTTTTCTCTTTACTGTCTCAAGGCCCTAGCTCTGTCTGACTGACTGTAGTATTTCTGCTTAACTCGGCTGTTGATAACAGAAGCAATAAATTCTCAGCTAGCCGGACTCTTTGCTTCGTGAATTCTGTAAGAAAGGATTTCTGTGAGCTGGGGGCACTACAGTGGACAGTAGCTATCTTTCCTGTTTTTATTGAAAAATAGAAAACAAAACAAAAAACAGTGGACATGGTGGTGCACTCCTGTAATCTCAGCATCCAGGAGGCTGAGGTAGGAGGGTCACTGAGTTCAAGGCCAGCGTGCATTACATAGTGAGATCTTGTCTAAAAATAAATTAAATAAATAAATAGGAAGGAAATTTTAAATAATTTATTTCCCTAAAGGAAGATGCACATTTCATATACGTTCTTGGGGTGCTAGATAATCAAGATAGGTGTTTCCCTAGTTTTGAGGGGAGAATATACTGGAATATGAAATTATAACGAATGAACCAAGCTGGGCATGGTGGCGTGCACCTGTAATCCCAGCACTTGGGAGGCTGAGGAGGAGGATCACTGTAAATCTGAGGCCAGCCTGGGCTACAAAGTGAGTTCAAGGGCAGCCTGAATCATAGTGAAACCCTACCTTAAAAAAGACCAAAACAAAAACACCCCAAAACTCTTCTTGAGAACTCTAAGATGGATATCTTGATGGGTGCTACAGCATCTATATATGTACTTTCTCCTTTTTAGACTGATTTGGTGAAGAATAGACAAATGGTCAATGAAGCCAAAACTCTAATCACCCCATCCTCTGACCATTGTATTGTTCTTTCTGTTATACCAAATTGGAATCTACAGGGATTTGGTTTGGTTTGGTTTGGTGTTTTGTTTTGTTATACTGGGAATTGAACCCAGGGCCTTCACACTGAGTTACATCTCTAGTCCTGTTTTATTTTTACTTTATTTATTTGGTACCAGGATCGAACTCACAATCTTGCACTTGCCACTTTGTGCTGCGGAGCTAAATCCCTGGCCCCTGTTTTATTTAATTTATCTTGAAACAGAGTCCCACTGAATTGCTAAATTGCCCAGGTAGCACTCCAATTTGCAGTCCTCTTGCCTCAGTCTCCTAAAGTGCTAGGATTACAAGTGTGCACCACCATACCAGCTGCATTCTACAATTTTTAACTGAGTATCTCCCATAGGAAAGTTTCTACATGCAGTGCATTCAAAAATGTTTAAGACAATGTGTAGTGAGGAAAAAAAGAATTTCGGTGTAATTATAATGTGAGACAAAAAGTAGGTGCTGCCCTAGGAAGTACATATATAGAATGATTTGTGTCATCAAATCCCCACCTGCCACAGGCTGTTGGAGAAAGCCTTACAAAGGAGTGCATTGGAGCATGCCGGCATCTGGAATCTGGGAGGCTGCTAAGGCAGGAGGAGTGCCCTAAGTTCAAGATTACTCTGCACTACAAATCTTGTGAAAGAAGGAGGGAGGGAGGGAGGGAGGGAGGAAGCAATCGAGCAAGCTCTTTTATCACAGTTCCTATGAATGGCTTCCGGGGATAGGGAGAGGGTTGGCCTGGAAGATAGATGATCTGACCCATTTCTTGCCTTTTTTAAAAAATCAAATTTATTGGTGTATTTTAGATATACATAATGATCACATTCATTGTAGGGAATTTGTACCTGTACATGATACGCCTTTTTTTTTCTATTCCTCTACCCTCCCTTCAACCCTTCTTCCCCCTTCCTATTATCTGATCGATTTCTTCCTCTGTGTTGCCTGTGTTGTTTTGCTCAGAACGCAATGGATTAGAAACAGGAGTCTTGGCTCTTTTACATAACCTCTTGCTTTCTCCTGTCTGCCAGCATTGCCTCTTTCCTATCTTCTTTCCCTTTCTCCTCCACCTATTATTTTGATAACCAGGAATGATGGCTGTTGCTGCCTGTGTTATTTTTCCATTTCAATAAAATGATGTGGTGAAACCAAAAATTTGAGCACCCCTGCTGGGGCCTTTTTTTTTTTTTTTTAATTGGTAACAGGAATCAAATTCAAGACCTTGTCCTTGCCAGGCAGGCACTGTGTCTCTTAAGTTACATCCCTGTCCCTGCTGGGGCCATTTTTACAAGTACTGAATTGTTATTTCACACTGGTCTACTATGAAAGAGCCAAAATAAAAGGGGAGGGTGACTGGGAGGTCTGAAAATACTGCGTGTCTCTCTTATTAAAAGACTTAACTACTTTACCCCTTTCAGTGCCATGGTGTGATACCTGCCTTATTTTGAGGAGAATGTGTTGGCTTATATTGTTACAACTGTTTAGCTTTGTTTGTTTTGCAGTACTGGAGATTGAACCCTGGACATCACATGTGCTAGGTAAGGACTTCACCACTGAGCTACATCTCTACCTCTACTCTTTTCTTCAGCTTGCACTTGACAGTAGATAGAGAACACTATCAGTCTGGGTGTGCATGTGTGTGTATGCATGTACATAGTGACCTCTGCAAAAACTGGATGGATCTTTGAGGACAGTCAGGGATCTCACACTCTGAACCTGCTCACCATCCGTATCTCAAGGTCCACAGATCAAAAAAAAGACAGTGAAAAGAAACCTCCTTATAATTTTCCTGGTTACTCAGTGAGTGTTTTACAGGCTTCTTTTATTGCTGAGCCGAGCAATCGGAAAGTAGGTTAGCACTGGGTGGGGGTGGAGGAGTAGCAGGCAACATGAAGAAGTGGACCAGTTATGTAAATGCAGGGAGATAACAGCAGGCATTGAACCGTAATCTCACTGTCCATTTCCCGCGAGAAACACAGTTGGAGTCAGGCTGTGCAGGTAGGTGTGGGAGCCAGGAAAGGTCTTTTTAGAGGGCGCTACTAAAGGCAGGGAGCAGAGCAGGTGCATATGATGGATGTTCCAGATTTTCCACAGGAACAGGGTAAAGAATGTTACATGTTTGCATCAGTGCTATCAGCATCCACCTCTGAGACATCCAAGAATCTGGATCTGTGCCTATTTCATTACCCAACAGGGTTTAGGAATCTAAATAAAAAGGGGCACACATGGGGCTGGGGATTTAGCTCAGCGGCATAAGCGCCTGCCTTGCAAGCAGGCAGTCATGAGTTCGATCCCCGGTACCGATAAAAATGAAAAAGACAAAAAAAAAAGGGGGGGGGGCACACTTCAGAAAAAAGAAGATGGTTCTTGTGGAAGAGTGGCAGGAGTTTATTAGCTCCTATCACTCCTTTCCCCCCATTCCGTTAGCCACTGATTTCCACTGAGATTGCCAAGGTTTAAGAGCAACTTTGGGGAGAAAAGTAAAAAAACTTTATCTCCACATCTCCAATGCCTCAAAAGCCCCAGAGCTTCTAGGACATATCAGGACCTAAGTAAAATCATTGTGTGGTTGGAGCTGTACTTTCCTAATTCCTGTAGTTCAAAGTCAGAGCTGTGACTGTCTGCAGAAGAAGCACAGGTGCAAGGCACTGGGTATGACCATTCTAAGGGAAAAGTTGGCTTCTGCCTCCCTCCCAAGGGAACTCCCTAAGGGTGAAAGTTTCACAGTTTATGCCCTTTTCTACCCAGTCATTCTTCCTAGTAAGTGGTTGTTTTCACTCTGAAACAGGCTGTTTTTACAGGTTCAGATCCAGGTTAGAATATGGGCATGTGTTTAATTTATAGACTGGAACCTCTTTGTTTTTGTAGGTAGGAGCCTGGGCAGGCAGGGTGTTGCTGGGTGGTAGAGCACTTGCCTCCCATGCATGTGGCCCTTTGGTTCAACCCTAGCACTGCAAAAATAAAAAAAATAAAAATCTTTCCCTGGTATTGAGAACAGCAGTTTGGGTTCCGACTCAAGTGAAGCATTTGAGAATCTTGCTCCGAATGCTCTAGGTAGTAGTGCCTTATCTCATTCCTCACTCCTGTTCCCCGCAAGGACCCTATATCTGTCTTCCCCTGTTTCTGCAGGCCTCATCATTTTGTCTCGACTGTCTCTGTCTTCTTTTTCTGCTGGCTGGTCCTCTGGTGTATGGACTTATACATGATGAACTGTGAACTTCTAGCCACATGTAGTGCCCTTGGGTACTTGGAGGGTGATGCTTACCACAAGGAACCAGATTGCTTAGGTGAGTAATTTCTTCGAAGAACCGGTAAAAACCTTGGTGGAATTGAGGCAGTCTGTCAAATTTCTCAAGCCCTAGGTATGACAAGCATGTGGGCTTGAGTGGAGTTTCTTGTAGGATTTCACGTACTTGTTTTTTCTTTCTCTGAAGAGAGTGTGAAGGATTTGATCCGCTACTTGAGGTATGAGGATGAGACTCGAGATGTGCGGCAGCAGCTGGGGGCTGCCCAGATCCTGCAGAATGACCTTCTACCCATCCTTGCCCAGCACCGCCAGGACAAGCCTCTCTTTGATGCTGTCATCAGGTTCCTTCCCCAGCTTTTTTATTTTTGCCACATGCCAGCATTTGTGTTTGTGCTAATAGGTTTAGGTGTCTGTGCAGGCCAAGGCAACCTAATAGCTTCTTCCCCCGTTGTTTTCCCCAGACTGATGGTGAACCTGACACAACCAGCCTTGCTGTGTTTTGGCAGTGTACCTAAGGAACCCAGCATGCGGCACCACTTTCTACAGGTGCTCACTTACCTGCAGGCCTACAAGGAGGTGAGACCATCCTTTTGAGTCCCCGAGCACAGTTTGGATGAGTGAGGGGAAATGGATGGACACTACATAAGAGCCATTTCCTCACAGGCCTTTGCCAGTGAGAAGACTTTTGGGGTCCTCAGTGAAACCTTGTATGAATTGCTGCAGCTGGTGAGTCTCACCTACAAGAACCCATGGCACAGGTAATGCATTGCACCTGTCCTGAGCTGAGGAGGAAATGCTGAGTCTGGAGATATAGTCCAGTCCTGGAAGATACAGTAGTCCAGGCTGTAGTCTCTGGGTGCCTTGGGGATACTCAGAAACTGGGTGAGGTTCTCTTCTGCACCTCAGTCTGCCAGTCTGGGTAGATGCTGCCCGCCTTCCATAAGGATTCTCTTCCTTTGTCTCTTTTCTTTCTGTCTAGGGCTGGGAAGAACGGCAGGAGGAAGACAATCTGCTGATTGAGCGGATCCTGCTACTGGTCAGAAACATTCTGCATGTTCCAGCTGACCTTGACCAGGAGAAGGTATGGCCCTGGGTCGTCTGAGTTCTTCTGCTGAGTCAGGTTGAATTATCTTTTTCTTTTTCTTTCTCTCCTTCCCTCCCCCTACCTTCTCTCTCTCTCTCTCTCTCTCTCTCTCTCTCTCTCTCTCTCTCTTTTTCCTCCTCTTTTTAAGGTAGGATCAGGTTGGCCTTGAACTCGTGAACTTCCTGTGTAGCCCAGGCCAGCCTGGAACTTGTATTGATCCTCGTGCCTCATCCTTTCCAGTGCTGGGTTATATGTATGTGCCACCATGCCCAGATGAACTTCTTGTTAGGCTTTACTATCTTGTGACCAATCTGAGGCAAGAGCTTTCACTAAGGAATGAGCTGGAGAACTTCAAAGCAGGGCGGCAAAACTGAGTGTGCTCCTCTTCTCCCCTCCCTACTCGTTGCTCAGAGGATAGATGATGATGCCAGTGTCCATGACCAGCTTCTCTGGGCAATTCACCTCAGTGGCCTGGATGACCTGCTCCTCTTCCTGGCCAGCTCTCCTGCCGAGCAGCAGTGGAGCCTACACGTGCTAGAAATTATCTCTCTTATGTTTCGTGACCAGGTAAGACCCTGAACTGCAGCTGTAGTCCCTCCATCCTTGTAGTTTTCTGCTACACCACCAGACTTGGTCTTTTAACAGTGGCTGAATTGTCTGGAGAAGGCAGGTGGTGGGTAGAGTCTCCTTGTCTTCAGTAGAGGGTCCCATCAAAGTCTGGTTTTGTTCACTCTTTCTATCCCCAGTAAAAGTGAGTTCAGGATTGGGAATGACTGTCCTTTTACTCTCCCCTCCTTGTTCCAAATCTAGAACCCCGAGCAGCTGGCAAGAGTAGGGCAGGGACGCTTAGCTCAGGAGCGGAGTGCGGATGTGGCAGAACTGGAAATGCTACGCCAGCGAGAGATGGCGGAAAAGAAGGCGCGAGCCCTCCAGCGAGGCAACAGGTGTGTAGCACAGAGCTCTCTGCCTGTGTCCTTCCTGCAGCAGGAACATAAGCACTATGGAGCAATTCTAAGACAACGGAGGCTGGACACCATTCTAAATCTTGAGCTCTTTCAGTGTTCCTGGTGAAAGAGAGTGGGTTAAAGCTTCCAGATGACTGAGGAAGCACTTTGGACTTTTCTCCCCTGTAGACATTCTCGATTTGGGGGCTCCTACATTGTTCAAGGTTTGAAATCCATAGGGGAAAGGGACCTCATCTTTCACAAAGGCCTTCACAATGTGAGTATTTGCACATCTGGTGTAAGAACATTGGGGCTGCAGGCTTTAAAAGTGTTACCATTTCTGAGATCAAAGCATCTTTGTTTCTTTTTTCGAGACATGGTTTCACTATATAGTACACGCTGGCTTAAAACTCACACTGATCCTCCTGCCTCAGCCTCCCAAGTGCCGGGATCACAGGTGTTTGCTGCCACGCCCTGCAGCATTTCTGTTCTTAAATTTAGAAACTTGGTGATGACAGCAAAAAGAAGTAGAGTGTGTACTGTTAGTCACATTGTCTGCACTCATGTTTTTTCTTAGCACCTGAGGCAGAGAACTGTCTGAGAGTTCCTTCTGAGAAAATTGTAATGCCAGGGATCTGGTAGAAGCCACAGGGGGACAGTGATAGTTAGGAGTAATTCTAATTCTCCAACCTGCACCTTCAGCTCCAAAACTACAGTTCAGATTTAGGAAAGCAGCCCCGCAGGATACCTAAACGCCACCAGGCCGCTCAGGAGCTGTCCACGCAGCGCCGCTCTGCCCTCAATGTGAGACTTTTCCTCAGGGACTTCTGCTCTGAGTTCCTGGAGAACTGTTACAACCGGCTTATGGGTGCAGTGAAGGTGAGAAATTGGGAAGACATGGAGGTACTCGGGGATGGTGCAGAGAGGTGTCCAGAAAAGTGACAGGCCAGTGATGGGGAAGAATTGCAACCTGGAGCCTGGAGTGTGGGCAAGGAAGCAGATAGGGCACAGCAGAGATGGAGAAGATGGCAGGAGAGGGTGGGTGATTAGCATAAGGAAAAGGGGCTCTGGAGATGTTACCCCAGAGGGAGGGGAGGGCAATGTGGAGAGACCTAAGGAGAGCAAGAGAAAACGAGGAATTTTAGATCCAACAGTTATCACAGTGATGTCTAGGCTTCTCCCCATCATCACAGGAGGGAAGGAGGGCAGGAAAAAGTTAGGAACCCTGAGGTCATAGTAGTCTTTTTTTGTTTTGTTTTGGATCTTAGGATCACCTGCTTCGTGAGAAAGCTCAGGAACATGATGAGACCTACTATATGTGGGCCTTGGCTTTCTTCATGGCTTTCAACAGAGCTGCCTCCTTCCGGCCAGGCTTGGTTTCTGAGACACTCAGTGTCCGTTCCTTCCACTTCATTGAGAAGAACCTCACCAACTACTATGAGATGATGCTAACAGATCGCAAGGAAGCCAGATCCTGGGCATGCCGGTGAGGGGTAGTTATCAGGGCTGCAGTGGGCATCCTGGCCAGGCGGGGGAATCTAAGTATGTGCATTTTGGATGGTACTTTTTCTCGATTCAGCATTGAAGGAATCAGGCTGGGGACTAAGGATTGACAGGGTCATTTGTTCCTGGTGGCACTTTTTGAGGAGTGATGTTTCCATTAGCCAGTGCTCTAAACTATCCCCCATTTCACTTGTTGGCTTCATTCTTAGGATGCACCTGGCACTAAAGGCCTATCAGGAGTTGCTGGCCACCGTGAATGAGATGGACATGTCCCCAGATGAGGCTGTGCGGGAGAGCAGCCGCATCATCAAGAGTAGGCCCTGGCTCAGTTCCTGATCCCCGCCTTCCCATCTCTACCAGAGTCTCATTCTTCTCAGTCCCAATTTCACCCATTTCTCCTTTTTACTCAGGGTTTTCAGGTGAGTCCTTCCATTCCTTTTTCTTTCCCCTACGTAGACAATATTTTCTATATGATGGAGTACCGAGAACTATTCCTGACACTCTTCCGAAAGTTTGATGAGAGATGCCAGCCTCGCTCTTTCCTTCGTGACCTGGTGGAAACCACCCACCTCTTCCTCAAGATGTTGGAGCGATTCTGTCGGAGCCGAGGGAACCTGATGGTCCAGGTACTGGGTAGCCCCAGGATGTCGAAAGTGTCATGAGGTGAAAGGCAGAGGCTCTTTCTCCCCCTATACCATATAGCTTAAGCTGATCTGTTAGAACTACTCTGAGCTAACAGGGCTGGAGGCTTGTGGTGTCACTGGTATGAGTCTGCCAGCTTTACTTCTCCCATTAGGTTCAGCCCTGATTTACCGAAGTATCTCCATTTATTCAGGAAACATTTATTGAATGTCTGCTGTGTGCTAGGTACATAAATCTTTAGAGATTAATAATTTTAATTAAGGGGTTAGGGATTTAGCTCAGCAGCATAAGCCCCTGCCTTGCAAGTAGGCAGTCATGAGTTTGATCCCCAGTACCGATAAAAAAGGAAAAAGACAAAACAAAACAAAACAAAACAAAACAAAAAAAAATAATATTTTTTGTCTTTTTGAGACAGTTCCACTATGCATTTCAGGTTGGCCTTGAACTCACTTGGTAACCCAGGCTGGCCTTAAACTCCCAGCACTCCTCTTGCCTCAGCCTTCTGAGTGCTGGGATTACAGGAGTGTACCACGATGCCTGGCTTAGAATTCATAATTTTAGATTTTAGTAATTAGCTTTCTGTTGCTGTGACAAAATGCCTGAGAAAAACAAGAGGAAAATTTTATTTTGACTTGCAGTTTCAGAGGTTCCAGTCTATGGTTGATTGGCTGTGTTGTTTCTGTGTTTGAGGTGAGGCGTATTGCAGAAGGGAACAGGTGAACCACAGCTGTTTACCTCATGGTGACCAGGATGGGGGTGTGTGCAGGAACAAGATATACCTGGTCATGGCACATTGCCCATGACTTAAATTCTCCAACCAGGCTCACCTCCTATAGTTTCTGCCACCTTTCAATATTCCTTTCAGTCATGAACGCATCAGTGGAGTGATTTGTTGATGAAATCAGAGTTCTTGTAATACAGTTATTTCCCAGAAGTCCTACCTTTGAGGATCCAATGCTGTACTAGTCACTGTTAGAATAAACTTAAGCAGCTTGTTTCAGTCTCTCTAGATCCCTGGATAGAAATTATAACATAGACCTTAGCAACTTCACCAGACCTTGTCTTAAAAGTCAAAAAAGGGCTGGGATGTAGCTCAGTATGAAGGCCCTGGATTCAATGCCTAGTATTACTCTCGAGTATGAAATAGAATAATAAAAGCCTGCAAAAAAAAAAAAAAATTCATATGCTGGAGACAAAGAGACTCTGCTTTGTAAAACACATTTCGTCCCAAACCTTACTATAATTCTAGTTTCTGCAGTTTAGAATTGTGTCAGGCCAAGTATAGTGCTGGACTCCTGTAATCCCAGCACTCAGGAGGTTGAGGCAGGGATTGCCATGAGATTGAGGCCAGCCAAAGCTACATAGTGTGTTCAAAGCCAGCGTGGACTGCATAGAGACGCATTCTCTCAAAATATAAAATTAAAATAAAATACAGTAAAATAATTCTATCTGAAATGAACTTGGGAAAGGCAGCAATACCAATGATGCTTTATTAAAAAGTATTTTTATGCTCAGGGCTCTTTGGTATTATCAGTAATAATAGGTGTTACCATCTAGTCACAGTTTCCTATGTATCAACATAGTGCTAAGGTTTTCATGTAATACATGCAACAGCATTAGGACATCTGCAGGTGAATACACTGCTTGCCTAAAATCTTGTTACTAAATGGTTAGTATCAGTGCAACCGTGGTTCATGAACTTAATTCTTTCCACGATTCTGGTCACAAACCAAATTAGATGAGAACCAAATCAAATTCAATGGTTATGTTTAATGTTGACCTTGGGGGGAAATTTGATTTGGTTCTCATCCAGTTTGATCTGTAACCGAAATTGTGGAACCAGTTAAGTTTGTGAACTGAAATACTGCTATTCTCAAGTCCAGATCCCTAGAGTCCAAAGCTCATGCTCTCCATTTGGTGTGTTTGACCATGAGTTTCTCAATAGAGCATGAACCTCAAGGGTTCCCCACCCAGCCATCCACTTTGACTTTTGTGCAAAAGACTACTTTACATCTGTGACATGAGGGAGGAGAACTAGGGGACTGATCTTTTTCTGTGTGTGTGTAGGGATCGAACTCACGACCTTGCACATGCCATGCAGGCGCATATGTCTCTGACCTAAATCCTCAGCCCCTGGTTGACTTACCCTTTGCTTTTGTTTTGTTTGACATGGGGTCTCACTATGTAGCCCCAAATGACCTCGAACTTAAACAACAATCCTCTTGCCTTAGCTTCCCAGCTGCTGGGATTACAGGCTGTGCAGCACCACGCCCTGCTCTTGCTTTTGAAGAAAAGATTTTGCCTTTTACAGAGGCTTTTCATGTATCTTATTTGATTCCCATAACAAATTTGTTCATGCTGTAGATCTTTACAGATATTGCTGCTTTTGGTAAATTCTTACTCCAAGAAATAGGCATTTTATATGCGATGACATTTTATGCTTATCCACATTACTCGTACCTACTCTGTAATGTAATTTCCTTTTGACTTACCTTCTCTCCAACTAGAGTACAAACTTTTTAGGGACAAAGAAATATACTGTTCACTATTGCTTCCCACAGCCTATGAGCAGCACATACTGGGAACTTGGTAAATCCCCACTAAACTAACTAGTTTTGTTTTTAGTTTTTTTGTTTGTTTAGTATTATTTTATTGAGACAGAGTCTTGCTGTGTACTCTGTGAACTCACTATGAAATCCAGGCTCACCGTCTGGGCTTCTGGCTCGGCCATCTGTGCACCTGCATGGCAAATGGGAGGTTGTGGGTTTGATTCCCTGTGCTCCCACCAGGCTTTTCAGGAGCATCATGTCTTGGCACTCGCTCTCTGTGGGCTGAGGATTTAGCTCAGGGGCATAAACGCCTGCCTGGCAAGTGCAAGGTTGTGAGTTCAATCCCCGGTACCAAAAAAAAGAAAGAAACCCAGGCCGGGCTCAAACATGTGCAACCCTCCTGCCTCAGCTTCCCAAATGCTAGGATTACTGGCATGCACCACAATATCTGCTTAGTTTTGTATGAGAGACAACAATGAGGAGAAAAGACTTCACTCTCCTGCCATAGTCATATGATTCTTTCCCCCATAGAACAAACGGAAGAAGAGGAAGAAGAAGAAAAAGAAGGTTTCTGACCAGACTGTGGCTTCTGGTAATGTCTCATACAGTGCAGAGGAGCTGGAGGCCTTGTGGCAAGGGCTGGCTGAGCAATTGCAATGCTGTACCCAGGTAGGTGGTTGCAGACACTCCAGCTTTTTTGAGGTGACTGATATGGGCAGACAAATATTTTTTTCTTTGATCCCAGGGATTGAACTTACAACCTCATGCTTGCCAGGCAGGCGCTTATGCCACTGAGCTAAATCCCCAGCCTAGACAAATATTCTCATCCATTTCTAGGATCCTGAGCTCAGTGTAGACTCCATGGTTCCCTTTGATGCTGCCTCAGAAATCCCAGTAGAAGAACAGCGGGTGGAAGCCATGGTGAGGATCCAAGACTGTCTCCTGGCCGGCCGGGCTTCACAGGCTCTGAGCCTCCTGAGATCTGCTCGGTAAGAGCCCTGCCCAGCACCCTTCTAAGCTTTGGCAGCCTTCTTCAGGGTGCAGCATTCTCAGGCTTCAGCAGGGAGAAGTCCTGTCGGACTCTGGGACCCAGAACTGAGTACTGACTTCTGGGAGCTTTGATTGACTTGGGGGGTTTTGGTTTGTTTCTGAGAAATGTTAGAAACCACAGTTAATCAGAGGGAAAAAAATAACTACTAGCCAAAGAGAGCCATCACTACATTTTGATGAGTAATCTTCCAGAGTCTGTTATAGATGGGCACACACACACCTTCTTTTTTAAGAGCGAAAAGCACATGTACTGACTCATAGTGTTTGTTAACTTCTTGACATATTTCAAGCATCATTTCTCATCAGTTATACTTCTGTTATTGTTAATGACTTTCAGGCACCATTGTGTATATATGTACATTTGCTGTCTACGTGTCAGCATGTAGGTTGTCTCCATTTTGTTCTTACATGATTTTCAATGCAGTTTGGCTTATAAGGAAACGTTTCCCTGGATTCTGTCTGTGGTGACAGTTTGGATTCTCTTTCAGGCTGAAATATATCTCAGTTCCTTCTCACATTCTACTTGCAACCGCCATTTCCTATAGTTAAAGCCTTTTTCCTCTGTGCTCCAGGGAGGTGTGGCCAGAAGGAGATGTGTTTGGCTTTCCAAACATTTCCCCTGAGGAAGAGATGCAGTTGCTGAAACAGATCCTCTCTGCTCCCCTTCCTCGTGAGTCTATTCCTTTGCAGCTCCCTTGTTTCAGCTGTGCTCCAGCATCAGCATGATAGAGACCCCATAGTCCTCACTCTTTTTTTCTCCCCCCAGTTTGAGCCTAAGACTTTTCCACTAAGCTACATCCTTAGCCCTTCTTTAATGTTGAGAGAGGATCTCAGCAAGTTTTCCATGTTGGGTTCAAGTTTGAGATCCTCCTGCCTCAGCTTTTCTGAGTGCTAAAATTACAGGTATTTGTTACCACACTGGGCTAATCTTCACTCTATGTATAGGGCAGCAGGAAACAGAGGAAGGAGATAGAGAAGAGGAGGAGGAAGAAGAGGAAGAAGAAGAGAAAGAAGAGGAGTTGCAAGTTGTGCAGGTGTCAGAGAAAGAGTTTAACTTTCTGGACTACCTGAAACGGTGTGTGCTAAGGCTGAGCTGCTCCCACTTTGGTGACTATTCAGCCTTGAGGATTGCTTGTGCCTCTGTGATGCTGAGCCCTTCTCCCTTCCTCATCTGGTGCAGCTTTGCATGCTCGACCATTGTGCGAGCCTACGTGCTGCTGCTACGGAGTTACCAGCAGAACAGCGCTCATACTAACCACTGTGTGGTCAAGATGCTACACCGGCTAGCCCACGACCTCAAAATGGAAGCCCTACTTTTCCAGCTCTCGGTCTTCTTCCTTTTTAATCGTCTGTTTAGTGACCCTGCTGCTGGAGCCTACAAAGTGAGAGGCTACCAAGGAATGGGGCTGGGGGATTGAGGGTGATCTTCAGGAAGTAGAAGCTGGAAGGTGGTCTGAGTGGGACAAGAGAACATGGCTAGCAGGCAGATGGAGGGAGCTGCCTAGGAACAGCAAAAGAGAGAATCCAAACACTTGGAAGGCTGGGGCAGGAGGATTGCTGTGAGTTGAAGGCCAGCTTGTACTACATAGTGAGATCACTGTTTCGAGAAAAAAAAGAGAACAGCTAGTGGGCAGGAAGGAAGAAAATACCTAAGAGCCAGTCTGTATATCTGTTTGGTGTCACAGTAGCCTTTCTTCCCTGTAGGAGCTTGTGACTTTCGCCAAATACATCCTCTCCAAGTTCTTTGCATTGGCCACAGTCAATGAAAAAGCCTTTGTGGAGCTGCTGTTCTGGAAGAACACAGCTGTGGTTCGAGAGATGACTGAGGGCTACGGCACCCTGGATGGCAGGTGAGCTTGTGAGTGGCGAAGGATGGGCAGTAGGTAAGTGGAGCAGTTACACAAGGTGAGAGCTGGAAGAGTTGCACATCATTTGATTTAGTGTTTCCCTTTCAGAGGTGAGAGATAGGCCCAGAAGGTGAAATACTTATCTAAGTTTACCCAACAAAGGACCAGGGACTGTAGCCTAAGTCTCTTGTCTGCTCTAGTTTCCTTCTTTGTCACCAACTTACTTAGAGGTGATTGCTGATGGGAGTGGTAGTGGTTACCCCCTGAGTTTGTGTGTGCCCTCTCTACTAATGTGGTGGGAAACCATAAGCATTCACAGAAACGTTTGTCCTCTTCTCCTAGTACCTCAGTTTCTCTGTTTCCTGTAACACTCTCAGTCCTTGGAGTTTCAGGTTCCATAGGTGCAAGCTGGGAAATCTAGTAACATTGGGGTTTTTAAATGGAAGGAGAGTATGGAGAATACCACATGTTAGACCCCTGCTAACTGGCTCTGCTGAGTTAGTTATCTATCTCACTTCTCTTGTTCCTTTCCGAACTGCTCACAGAGGGCCTTTGGTCTCCTCTCTTGAGGCCAGCAACATACATACTCCCCTTACCCTTGCACCATTCAGGTCTTCCAGTTGCAGAGCTGCTGCTTGGGGCCCGGAGGAGGAGGCTCAGCTTCGGGAACTGTACCTCACTCATAAGGATGTGGAAGGTGTGAGGCCTTGAATGCTGAACAGTTTTTGAGGAGAGCAGCCTGAGCTGCAGGACTTGTCTTTACTGCTTCTTTCCCTTTCTACCATAGGTCAAGATGTGGTGGAAGCCATCCTAGCCCATCTGAATACTGCTCGGACACGCAGGCAGGTCATCCACCATTTGGTACGGCTGGGACTGGCTAACAGTGTCAAGGACTTCCAAAGGTAGAGGCTTCTGTTTTGGAGTGGATGGGGAATCCTCAGTCTACTCGCTGGACCTCCTTTTCTGCCAACACCACCCTCAACAGGAAAGGGACCCATATTGTATTGTGGACAGAAGACCAGGAGCAGGAACTTCAGCGGCTTTTTGAGGAGTTCCAGGACTCAGATGGTGAGTGAAGTGGAAGCTCAAGAAATAGCTAAGATTAGTGCCAAGCTGTCTACTTCCTTGTATTTTAGAGAAAACTTATCCCATCCTTTCTGTCCACTTGCTATATTTGTGTCATTTGGAGTGAGGTGAGCTAGCATCTTTCTAGAAACCTCTAATTTTTTGTTACTAATCCCTTTCTCCAGTTGCTCTCAGGTATTCACACACTCCCTCTCCATAGATGTCCTTGGTCATATCATGAAGAATATCACAGCGAAACGCTCAAGGGCTCGAATCGTGGATAAATTGCTTGCCCTGGGGCTGGTAGCTGAGCGGCGGGAGCTGTACAAGAAACGGAAGAAAAAGCTGGCACCCTCTAGCACGGTAATAGTCTCACCCTGGTTCTGCCCACCTGGGCCCATTCCCCCTGAGTGCTCACAGGAGCAGCCCCCCACCTTGCCACTCCTCCTGCCTCAGGCTGTTCCAACAAGGCCCTCCCGTGGGGGCGTCAGCAGACTCCCAATGTTTCTCATGGGCCTCCTTTTCATCATCCTGCCAACCAATGAATTCTAGCCTGATGGGGAAGACTCCCCGAAAGATTTTCAGCAAGATCTGGAAGATGAGGAAGACTTACCAGAAGAAGAGAGTGAAGAGGAGGATGAAAAAGATGAGTTCTTGGAAGGAGAACAAGCCCACGGTCACTGCGTTCTCTCAGCTGCAAGCCTTGGTCAAGACCTACGTCAGGAAGGTGAGAACTTCAGATGAGAGAGGTGGAGGTTGAGACGGGAGTATAGACCAAATATGTTTCCTCTTTTTGTTTAGGCTTTTCTGTGCCACTGCTGTGGCTCCAGAACTGCCTGCTTCGAGCAGCGGATGATCGGGAAGAGGATGGTGAGTGCAGAGATGATGGTTTTGGAACCTTAGAGGCCTGGAGTCCTGGAGGCCACTAAACTGGCTTGCAGATGGAAAGACTGTCCTTTCTCACATGTGGCTGCTGGCTGTTCTAGGCTGCTCCCAGGCAGTTCCACTGGTGCCACTGACAGAAGAAAATGAGGAAGCAATGGAAAACGAACAGTTTCAGCAGCTGCTGCGCAAGCTAGGGATTCGGCCCCCAGCCTCTGTGCAGGCAAGTCGCAAGTTAGATACAGTGTCAGCCAAAGCACATTGGTCTGTGTCTATGCGCTTGCTGTCTTCCTCTTGTCCTCCTCACTGTGTCTAGCAGCTGTCTTACTAGTTTTCCTCTCTGCAGTCTCCCTTTCCCCCAAATCCATGTTCTATACTGTGCCCTAGATTTTTCTTTTTAATCTTATCTCCCCTCCCACACCACTTCCCACATAGTATTTATCTTTCTAAAATACAGTTTCCCTTAGATCCCTTGCTCATCTCAAGCACCTCATGGTCCACAGCCAGATGGCAGCCAATCTGTGCAGGCTGGCGGCCATCCCACCACACACCTGCTTTATACCTGCCGTAGCCACCCTTCATATGGTAGGCTTTTCCCTGACCATACACAGTAATCATGCCAGTTCCTCTTTCAGAAAGCCGTACAAGCATGATGACAAGTACACGTGCGCTCATACATGCATGCATGGATACATGTGTGCTCATACCCCACCACCTTCCTGTTGAACCCCAGCCCGAGTCAGCTTAACTGTCATTTCCTCAGAGATGCAATCTCCTTTACCCTTTAATTCCTGAAGTAAATGTAATCCCTTGGTATACCTGTAACCCCCGCATTCCAGAGGCTGAGGCAGGAGGATCACAAGTTCAAGGATAGCCTGGGCTTCAAAGTGAGTTCAAGGCCAGCACAAAGTGCATAGTGAGACCTTGTCTCAAAAAAAAAAAAACGCATGCGCAGGTTCCATGGCCAGAGCCCCACCTCTGGTCCCTTTATTACTTTGATATAGCCTGAATCCATTAGTGTTACAGCACATTTATTGTTTTTAAGCACATTTGTTCTTTCTCCCGTTAGATTATGAGTTTCTTGAGAATAAAGATCATATGTGGTTTACCTTTAGGTCACCAAGATCCCTTCATTTATTTAGTTAACAACTGTATGTACTGGGAACCTATTAATGTAGATAGGTATTATAGATAAACAATAAGTAGAATTCATGACCCTTGTGGTCTTCACTAATGTGGAATCTTATTTATTCAATGAATAATATAGAAATCTTATATGAACAGACTGGTCTTTTCTTGTCATTTTCTTTCTCTTTGTCCTTTGCTCTTTTTTAGGAGATGGTGGGTGGCAGTGCTGGGAGTTGAACCCAGGGCCTTCACACTGATCTACATCCCCTGCCCTCCATCCCTTTTTCTTTTTCTCTTTTTTTTTTTTTTTTTTTTTTTTTTTTTTTTGTCTTTTTCTTTTTTATCGGTACCGGGGATTGAACTCACGACCGCCTGTTTACAAGGCAGGAGCTTATGCCACTGAGCTAAATCCCCAGCCCCTCTTTTTTTTTTTATTCTGAGAGTCGTGTTAGTTGCTTAGGTTGGGATTGAATTTATGATCCTCCTGCCTCAGCCTCCTAGAGTGTTGAGAGATTAGAGAAGTATACACCATGCCTGGCCCCTTAGCTGTCATTTTTAATTGCTTTGTCCCTCTAGGAAACCTTCTGGCGAATCCCAGCCAAGTTGAGCCCCACCCAGCTACGCAGAGTGGCAGCTTCCTTGAGTCAGTCAAAGGAGGAAGAAGAGAAGCTGCAGCCAGAGTTAAGGCTGAGCATCAATGGAGAGCAAGGCCCTAGTGAGGAGGACCAGCAGGAGAACTTCTTGTTAGCTCATAAAAAGAAAGCAGGACTAGAGTCCATGGAGGGTAAAGTGTGACCGCTTATCTATTGACAACTTATTTGTTGTGCCATATTGGTTTGGAGGTATGAGAAGGTATTTTGGGAACATGCAGGCCCAGTTCCCTATTTCTGTGCTTCTGTTTATGATAGAGGAGGGAGCTGCTGGTGGGAAAGAGCATCTGAAGGTGGTGCCCAAGAAGCGGCAGCTGCTGGACAGTGATGAAGAAGAGGAGGGAGATGAGGGCAGAAGCAAAGGTAGCAAGTTTTTCTCTTCTAATCTCTGTCTTCAATCTGAGGACAAACTCATCTCTTTGTCGTTCCTGTACTTAGATATTCTCTCTCACCCCTATTGTTCCCACAGTGCCAGAACTACAGGCTCCAGTAATCCCAAAGAAGAAGCGGTATCAGATTGAAGACGAGGATGAATGACTGAAGAGCCACAGGCCTAGGCACAGAGATAGACTTGATTTTAGGTGCTAAATTTAAGTCAGAGTTGGGAGGACCCAACATCTGTTCTTAGTGGAAACAAACATTGGCTCCTGGGCTGTTCCATAGATTTAAGGCCCAAGAATTTTTAGTCCCAGAGTCAGAGGGACATTTTGCTGTCAGTCCCAGTTTCCCCCAGTTTTGTTTTATATTCCTGATTCTGGGGTCAAACACAGGCCCTGCCACATGCTAGATGAGTTCCCTACCACTAAGCTTCATCCCCAGGCTATCTTCTCTCCACTTTATCATTATGCCTGTCCTGAGAGCTCTCTGAATACTGACTTCTGGCTTCTCATCTTCTAGGAACCATTCTTTTTTCTTTTCCCCCCCTTTTGTTTACTAGAAACTTAGCAAATGAGAGTGAGTAAAATATAGAAGCTACCTTGAATCCCTTCCTTGCTTGGTTGGTTGGTTTTGTGGTGTTGGGGATTGAACCCAGGGTTTCTTCCATGCTAGACAAGCATTCAACCACTCAGCTCCAGCTCCAGCCTCCTTTTGTCTGTTCCTTTTGACTTTGTGCTAGAGGTGGGTCACAGGACCAGATGGGGGCCTTTACTATGATGCATCAAGGGTTTGCACTGTTTTTAAAAGACACTCAGACTCCTCCACCCTATGTTTTTACAGTTACCACCTCCTAGTCACCAGATTGAGCCCAGTTCTTGCAATTGAGGTAGAGCTAAGATGAAATATTTGTCAGATAATGCATATATTTGATTTGACATTAAATTAAACATGTAAAATAACAGTTGCTGATCTCAGTCTGAGTACCCCAGCGACCCCCTGCTGTGGTTTTGGAAGAACTTTAAAATATACTTAAAGGAGACCACCAACCCTCCCTTTTCTTTCACTACAGAAGACACAGAAAACTGTTCTTTCTTCAAGAATCTTGTTGCCAGGTATGATGATGCACACCTATAATCCCAGCACTTGAGACGCTGAAGCAGGAGGATCACTGTGAGTTTGAGGCCAGCCTGAACAACAAAGTGAGACACTGTTTCCAAAAATAAATCTTGAGCTTTTATGGAAGCTTCATTACATAAGCATGGCTGTTGGAGTCTGTTCCTAGAGCCTCAGTCCCCCAAACGGGTGCACAGCAAAGGCCCAAAGGAATGAGACAAGCGGCACAATCTTTAGGGTTACAGGAGGACTGAAGTCCTCGGCAGAGCTTGAAACTCTGCTAGCTGACCAGCCGATTGACACTAGGCAGCCCGTATTTAATCAGAACAAGCAAGTTGTTGCGTGGACAATGGAGGAAACCTGAACAGGATCTTGGGAGGAGTTCAAGGACCCCTCAGAGCAACAGATGATGCCAATTTAGGAAAACTATCCAGCCGAGGCCCCCTGAGTTGTCTCCTTGTTCTCAGTTCAACCATGCCTGGGTCACACCACAGCCCTGTACATGTGTGTATTCAGCTTCAATGCTCTCCAACACATGACTAATTAAATCACTGACTGTTGGTTTATCGATTCAAACGTAATCCCCTCTTCCTGTTTGGTTTAGGGCTTTGTACATCCTTGAGCTGTCAAAGGTGGAGATGGGACTGAAAATTCCAATTTTATGATCATATGGTTGCTTCCTGTGATCAACCAGGCCCCATCCTGAGTCTCCATACGGGTTTCCAGTCATAAGTCATTCATTAGCACTTGCATCATTCCAGGGACAGGTTATATACAAAGTATGATTGAAAAATACTTTTACATTTAAATTTTTTTAAAATGTAGTAAAATACACATTATCATTAATCCCCCTCAAAAATAGTCCTTTTATTTTCATCCAATTATTCTTACCACTTTTGGTGGGGGAGTTTGTTTTGTTTTGTTTTTGAGACACAATTTTGCTGTGTAGTTCAGGCTGGTTTTGAACTCGCTCTGTAGACCATGCTAGCGATCCTCCTGCCTCAACCTCCCAAGTGTTGGAATGACAGGTGTGCACCTCTATACTCAGCTTTGCATTAAGGTTTATAGTGTACGTGTTACCAGTCTACTTTTAGGTGATGTTTAATGCTGCTTTATGTAAGAGCACAGTGTGAGAAGTTCACCCGTATACTTCTTTCCTTTGCCAGCATTGTGCTGTTAACACATTCTTGCGCTTACACATTCTGTGCCCTACATTGGATTATTTTGGCCTTAACTAGCCTATTTCCTCTCTTTATTTTTTTATTTTTATTTTATTTTTACTTTTTGTGCCAGAAATCAAGCTCAGGACCTTGCACTTGCCACGCAGACATATTATGCCACTGAGCTGTATCCCCAACCCATCTTATTACCTCTTTAAAACAGCAGCAACAACAAAAACCCACATACATACTTGTCCAAGTAATTACCATTTTTGTATGTATGTTCTTCATTCTTTAGTATACATATTTCCACTAGAAATCATTTTTTTCTACCTAAAGGCTTCCACTAACATTTCTTACAGTGTAAGTCTGCTGGTGATAGATTCTTTTAGATTTTGAATGTTTTGGGGATTTTTTGTTTTTTTGGTAGAATTCATTGTTTTAAAAATGTACCATAGGGGCTGGGGATTTAGCTCAGCGGCATAAGTACCTGCCTTGCAAGCAGGCAGTCATGAGTTCAGTCCCCGGTACCGATAAAAAAATATGAAAAAAATGTACCATAGCTGGGCATAGTAGCACACACCTGTAATCCCAGCACTCAGGAGGCTGAGGCAGAAAAGATTGCCTGAGTTTGAGACCACCCTGAATTACCTAGCAAGACCCTGTCTTAACACAACCAGTGGTGGAGGACAGCATTTTTAAAAAATGTACAATTTTCCAATACTTAGGAGACTGAGGCAAGAGGCCAGCCTAATGTACATAATAAGCAGGAGACCACCCTGAACTACATAGTGAAACTATCTCAAAAAACAAAAGTAGTGGGGCTGGGGGTTTAGCTCAGTGGCATAAGCACCTGCCTTGTAAGCAGGCGGTTATGAGTTTGATCCCGGTACCATTATCAAAAATCAAAAGTAGCTTGCTAAATGTGGATGTGCTTTCAATCCTAGCCACACAGGAGGCTGAACAGGGATCTCAAATTCAAGGTCATTCTGGGAAATTTAGCAAAACTCGCTCAAAAAAAGAGAATTAGTGATGTAGCTCAATATTCCTTGGAATTAGTTCCCAGTACTAGGAAAAAAAGTCTCAAGAGATGGGTGTGGCAGCATACAACTCTTAACTGGGGAAGCTGAGGTAAGGTAAGAAGGAGGTCATGAGTTCAGTTCCTGATACCAGCAACAAAAATAATGAACAAAAGAGAATCTGTAGATTCAAGGCCAACCTGGACTATGTAGTAAGATCCTGTCTCAGACAACAAGGAACTGTACAATCCAGTGCCTCTGAGTATATTCACGGTGTGCAACCATCACTACTCTCTAGTTTCAGAACATTTTCATTCCCCAAAAAGAAACCCTATACTTAACCATGTTGAAAAATCCTTTATCTTACCAAGCGCTGTGGCTCATTCCTCTGATCCCAGCACTTTGGGAGGCTAAGGCAGGAGATCACAAGTTCAAGCCCAGCCTATATAACTTAGCAATTTAGTAAGACTTGTTTTAAAAGATAAAAAGGACACATAGCCTGGTATGACGGTTTTGGGTTGACTCCCCCTATATCAAAGGAAGAAAGAAAAGAAATTGATTTGTTACTTGCTTTCTAGATTTGTTTTGGTTTCTTTAATACCATGCATGTAGCCATTGATTCTCCATATGCTGAAATCTTTTGGAACAGAGGTTGGTGTTCCAAGAAAGGAGTTGATTCCCTCCCTTTTATATTCTACCACCTTGCTGGTCTGTAAGACCAGCTATTCAGGAGACTGAGGCAGCAGGATTGAAAGTCTGAGCAATTTCAAATTAAATTTAAAAATGGGCTGAGGCTTGCTATAGTATATCAAGGTATACTCAAATATTTCAAGGAAAGAGACACTATGGTAGCTACTGTTATGTCGGATTGTCTTGTGGTGAAACACTATGTTGCTTAAATTGTTCTGTTCTGACCTGTGTTGTTATGTCCTCTTTTATCTTAATCTTTTTTTTAAATTTAAAAAAAAAAAAAAAAGGGCTGAGGCCAGGCATGGTGGCACTTGCTTGTAATCCCAGCACTGAGGAGGCTGAGGCAGGATCATCATCTTGAGTTTGAGCCTCGCTTGGGCTACATAGTGAGACCCTGTCTCAAAAACGACCCAAAAAAAGGCCAGAGATTTAGCTCAGAGGCATAAGCATCTGCCTGGCAAATGCAAGGTTCTGAGTTCAATTCCTGATACAAAAAAGAAAGAAAAAAAAAAATCAACTCCCCATAGAGGAGGGGAAGGTGGCTAGGAATGTAGGTCAGTGAAAAGTTCTGGGTTCAGTCCCTGTGCTAGGGGAAAAAAATTCACCATGTAAAATTGTGTTTCAAAGAAATTTGTTTTAGGTGCTGCTGAGATTAAAAGAATATATTGCATATTACATTGTTTCTTTTCCCAATGAAAATCCCTTCTATCTTCATTTGTGACCTAGACTCTTATCTGACTCTGGTTTCTCCTTTTGGTCCCCTCTTTTCTTTAGGTTGTTTGATTGTTTGTTTGTTTTGAGACAACATCTCACTTGGTTGTGTAGGCAGGCCTTGAACTATGAAGCCCAGTGTCTTGATTACTTTTTTCTTGTTGAGACAAAAATCTGATACACAGAATTAGGGAAGGTAAGTTTTATTTAGCTTACAGTTTTTTTGGAAGTTGCAGTCCATACTCAGCTGGCTCCAAGGCAGGGTGGTGTGGCTGAGGGGCAACCGTTCATGAGGCCACGAGCTGAAAGAGTGAAAAGGCAAAAGGTGGGAAAGCACCTCTCTTCTCCTCCCCTGTATTGTATGCCAGTTACTCACCCCTGGGCATGTGCAGCACTCATACCACCAATGTCAGTGCTAGACAACGAATCAATCACAAACACTAGATTTAGCCATGTCCGTGATTGCATGAGGCTTGGGAGGCCACCCAGACACAAACCACAACACTCAGGTTGGCCTCATTCTCAACAGTCTTCTTGACTGAGCCTCCTGAATGCTGGGATTATAGGTGTAATCCCACGCAGCTTTTATTTTTCATTCTGTCTGGAAACATTTCTCTCTGAAACATGGTTCTGATTATATTGTTTCCTGCTCCAAAGCATTTAATGGACAGACCATCACCAAAAGGTAGGATGCCTGATGTTAGCCAGGCACCACACCATGACTGCACAGTGATGTTTCATACCCTTGTTGCCCTGTGCTATTTGAAGCCCTCTACACAGAGCAGGCCTTTTCATGCCATCTGCTATTAATTTAATTGTACCAGTCTGTCAACTAGACGGTTCTGTCCAACTGCAGCCTTATGCTTCAAGAATCAGCTCTCAAAAAAATTTCAGGGGGCTCAGGATTTAGCTCAGCGGCATAAGCACCTGCCTTGCAAGCAGGCAGTCGTAAGTTTGAACCCTGGCACCGATAAAAAGAAAAAGAAGAAAAAAAAATTTCAGCTCAAATGTTCTTGCTTATGTGAAGCTGTCTGTTGCTCTCTGAACCTTAAAGCATCAGCAGTTACTTTTTTTTTTTTTTTTTTTTTTTTTTTACTACTGGGGTTCAAACCCACAGACATTGTACCATCCCAGGCCTTTTTAATTTTTTTTTTTTTTTTTTTTTTGTCTTTTTCCTTTTTATTGGTACTGGGGATCAAACTCATGACTGCCTGCTTTACAAGGCAGGCGCTTATGCCGCTGAGCTAAATCCCCAGCCCCTTTAATTTTTAAGTTTCCCAGTCTGTCCTCAAACTTGTGTTCTTCCTACCTTAGCCTCCTAAGTAGCTGGAATCACATGTGTGCAGCAACATACCCAGCTGAGAAATCATTTTGATTTGTTCATTCCCCTGATAAAGTGAGAGTTTTACAGTGTTTCATCTCTTTGTTCTTTTTTTGAATAAATAGCTGAGCAAAGCTTTGGAAGGAGACAATTCTGGGGATTAATCCCAGGGCCTGTGTATTGATCTATGTCCTCAGCCCTTTAAAAAATATTTTTATTTTGAGACAGTGTCTTGCTGAGTTGCTAGGCTGGGCTTGAACTGAATTGAAAAAGGAAAAATTCTAAAAGTAATCCATGTGTGTTGGTGACCATCTGTTTATGTATTTAGTCCCTCCAATATGGGAGTCATAGTGCTGGACATTGGATATCTGTTGGGAATGATTACCCAAAAGTGAGGTGTACACAGGTGAATAAAACTCAGACTCTCACCACACTCAGCTACCTAGTGAGTTCAGGGGCAGCCTGAGCCACACACACACACACACACACACAACCCAGACCTCAGAGCTGCAGCTGTAGACGGTGGTGGGAAAGTCACGCAGGTTTTCTTCATCCCTATACAAGACCATCAGGACAGCAGCCCAGGAGGAGGTTCCCAGGGATGCCCTGGTATCTGTTTTATAGCTTTAAGGCGGGGTTCAGCCTAATCCCCAGTGAACAAAGGGTACCTTTGTCACCATGCTTTGCGGGCACAAGCAAGAGCAAGCTGTGTATAACACAGACCCACATCTGCCAGGAACAGGAATCTACTAAGAATTCAGGTGCAGCTTTGTATTCTGCTGCTTGGATCTACTCTGTCAAAGCCAAGGAATAAGATGGATAGGTCCATGGCCCTGAGCCATAGTTGTCTGTGGTCATGCAGATGTCAGGGGATTCATGGACAATTGGTAAGCTCTGTGTTACCTCAACATGCAGTGAAGATTTCGGTTCAGCATATAATCCAGTAAATATTACAAGGAGGAAAACAAACAAACAAACAAACAAAAGGGGATTGGGGATTTAGCTCAGTGGCTTAAGTCCCTGCCTACCAAAGGTGAAGTCCTGAGTTTGATCCCGGGTACCAAAAAAAAAAACCAAAAACAAAAAGAACAGCAAACACTCCTCTGATAGACATTAGGGAGGAAGATTTGGTGGGTGCCAAAGGTGTGTCACCAAGAGGTGATAAACAACATAGTAGCCTCTGAAGTCAAGATTTCAGAAGAAGTGAATTCATTTTACTCATTGTGGGGCTTATTGAATGGCCATAACTTAGACACTGTTCCTGTACTAATTCCTGGCAAGCTGTATGCCTAGTGTTTAAAATTCAACTAAACATCGGACTTGACATCTATTTTTTTCTCATTAAAATTTGTTTTAATGGATCTCAAAATTCTGTGACAGATTTTTGGGTTGATTTTTAAAACTGACTTTAAGTAGCTTAGTGGCACAGCACCTGCCTGGCAAGTGTGAGGCCTGAGTTCAATTCCCAGTACAAAAAAACAAACAAACCAAAAACTGACTTTAAAACTATCACACACTGGGCCAGGGATTTAGCTCAGCAGTATAAGTGCCTGCCTGGCAAGTGCTAGGTCATGAGTTCGCTCCTGGGTACAAAAAAAAAACCTGCCACACACACAAAATGGTCCCCATAACATTCTCCTTTCCTTCTGAAGCTTTCATGATACATCATTATCATTAACCAGTCTTTCACTATTAAACCTAAATGACCAGGTGGGAGAAACAGTTCTGAGACAGGTCTTCACCACTGATTAAGAATGGGGTGGTGGGTGTTAAGGGATAATATTAATTTAGCCTTGTGAGCTTTCTGGGCAGACTTGGTGACCTTGCCAGCTCCATCAGTCTTCATGTCCATTGCTTTGATGACACCACAGCAACTGTCTTTCTTATATTGCAAACAGCGAACAACCCAGAGATGAATAGTCAGAAAACCTCTCAACACACATGGGCTTTCCTAGAACCATGTCAACAATGGCTGCATCACCAGATTTCAAGAATTTGGGATCATTTTCCAGCTTCTTACCAGATCAGCAATCAGTCTTTTAGCTCAGCAAACTTGAAAGCAATGTGAGCTGTGAGCACTGATCTGGCTGGGATGGTTCAGGATAATCACCTGGGCAACGAAGCCAGCTGTTTCCATTGGTGGGTATTTTTGCTGTCACAGGAGTGTTGCCACAGTGAACATCTGTGACAGATACATTCTGGCTGTGAAGCCCACACTGTCGCCAGGAAGAGTTTCTTTCCGTTTCATGATGCATTTGGTCAGATTTTACTTCAGTTGTGGCATTGAATGGAGCAAAGGTGACCACCATGGAAGTTTGAGAACACCAGGGCTGGAAATTTAGCTCAACGGCATAAGCGCCTGCCTTGCAAGCAGTCGTGAGTTCGATCCCCATTACCGATAAAAAGGAAAAAGACAAAAAAAAAAAAAAAGTTTGAGAACACCAGTCTCCACTTAGCCCACAGGGACAGTATTGTTGTGGAAAATAGGACCAAGCCAGATGGAAGACATGCAGCAGTGGCAGCACTTGGAAGTCAAACAGTTTTATTTACACCACTGGCTGGTGGGAATTGGTTCCAAATCACCAGCCCCATCTTAGGTTCAAACAGACATTTATATAGGCTGTTAGCAGAAAACACAAGAAGGAAAAAAAAATACAAGAAGGTTGATAACATGATATTCTATAGTTGATTATATATTGTCATGTTGTTAGGCAGCTTTATTTGGGGCAAGTTTAGCTGAGATTTTTTGTTTTAATCCTATTTCAGGAAGGTGACTAGTAGGGTGAGCAGGAAGAATCAGTCACTGTCTTATATTGAGCTGAGTTGTCTCTGGGTAATAACTCCTTGAAACCTTGGAATGGGTTAAAATAACAAGATGCATTTTTTTTGTCTGGATTACACTTATATGTACTGCAGCTGGCACTGGAATACCACGGCTAGCTGAGTTTTGCCACTCTCTGATTATGGGAACAAGCTGAGCCTGCTTTTCCCATCCTTGAATATAGTGACAGGCTATAAATTTTAAAATTTCCTTTACATCTCCCCCTTTTTCTTATAAGGGAGATTCTTTTTCCTCAGTTGTAAGCAATTAAAGGGCTTCCTTTTTGTGAGTGGCAGCAAGCAGGAAGGGGGTGCCATGAAGGCCTTGAGTACACTCTGGGAATACAAGGTGGGGTTGCAGCCTGCCTACCATGAAGTGCCACACACCGCATCTCTGTGATTTGGATCTTCATACCCAACCATGTCCTCACCAATCCCAATTCTGGTACTTTGTGTCCCAACTGAGAAAGATGAAGTCTCGGGGGAAATTGTCTACTGTGGGCAGCTGTTTGATAAGTCCTCCCTACAGGTGAAGAACTTCGGCATCTGGTTGCACTAGGACTCTCACAACAGCACCCATAACATGTACCAGGAACACCATGAACTGACCACAGTGGCTGCCATCACCCAGTATTACTGGGACGGGGGCATCCAGCACTGTGCCCATGCCCACTCCATCTAGATTGTGAGGGTGGAGGAGATCACAACCAGCAAGTGTCACTGCCAACCATCAAGCAGTTCCGTGACTCCAAGATCAAGTTTCCACTGCCCTACCAGGTCCTGCATTGCCAGCACAAGCCCCACGTCACCACCAAGAG